GTACTTGTTTGGTTGGTAGAGCCAAGTAGATTATAATCACATCCTTTTCCAGTATAAATAAATCATACATATTTGGCACATTTTTAGGATCCAGTATTTTACAGTCCCCTGTTGGTAGCTGAGTACCATAATTGCTTTATCCTTAAAAAAAAAAATATTACCATGTAAGAATGAACACACAAAGTCAGTCTAATCCCAATGGCATTAGCAACTGTCCTTATGTCTTGGGCTATTATAATGATCCAGTAATGGTCAATATGTAAGAAATATCAAGTGAGTAAACATTATGTAGAGTTGTCTAGATGTCTATATGTAGCAGGAGGAGCTTCTCTGTACAATTTCAAAGTGACATGAAACTTTCGCTGTCCTCATAGAAGAGAGACAAAGTGAGCTTCCTACCATTAACATACATTGCATCTCAATCTTTAACCCTTTGTTAGGATAGACAGTGTTCAAATCTTGTTTACGACTGACAAAGAGATCTGCCATCGCAGTACACACAGGGCTAATTAGGTTAAAGATTAACTCCCCTTTTGTATTTTGAAGGAAAATTATGTTTAGTCTTTTATTTCAGGAAAGAGTAAGTAATATGTAGCAATTACATTTTTTATAGGTTATGCTATGTGAATGAGAACATGGAACAAATATAAAGTAGGTATTTTTCCAATTTGGCTGCAAAAGTGGAAATACACTATAATATTACCTACATGGAGCTAATCTTAGGCAGACAGGGCTCCTCTATTCATTGCATTAACTACTGTTCACTTTGAGGAAATAGTAACTGGCTCCCCCTGTTCTCTACATCATGATGTTAGTTCATGTAAACACATAATGTAAATGGCCTTGATGGAGACCCGGGTTAACCCGAAAGGTCATCTTTGTTTTCTTGTCCCTGGTCAATAATATTTGCATCATTGTTGCTGAGTACAGTTTATATATATATACAGTATTTTCTGAATGGTTATCAAACGAAAAAAACTCCTCTGCAACATGTCCTCAGGTAATTACAGTAATGAGTGTCTTTTAGAAGGATATTTATCAAAAGCAGAAACCTTTGCTTGTCAGTCCCAGTGGGAAAGAACTAACATACTGTATATCCCTCTGCTTCTCAGGTTTTTTTTGTCTGGTTTAAGTTATTTTAAATGTGACTTAAATATACAGGTGCCGAATGAAAAGACAGAGGTCAGAACAAATAGGTGATTCTGAGTCAAATGTTTGTTTAAGAAACATCATTGCTAGAACATTTGCACAAAAAAATGTTTTAGTAGTCAAGTGCTGCCAGAAAAAATCAATCTTCAAAGCCGGATTTTTCAAGCATTTTTAGTTGGATGAACAATCTTTTCAGATGTCTTTTTATCAGTCTTAAAAACATTAAGCAATAATATACAACATGGATTCACATTTCCTGCACCAGAAAGCTTCAGAGAATAAAAAAAGTAAAGACTAAAAGTAGTTTAAACATATAGAAGAATCATGAATTCACAAACGACTTGTTCGAGTTGGCAATACCATAAGTCATTTTAAAGCTCAATAGCAGCCTTATCTGTAATTATTACCATCTGTACAGCCTTCTCTGCTGAGAGGAATCTGGCTACTCTGACATCATGGCACAATGTGATCTTTTAACAGTGTGCACTAGAAGCTACTTTATCCAATTGCTCCCATCTAACTTCTGGGCTGTCCAGTGTCATCCAGCTTCTCCCTCCCTAGCCTGACTGTCAGTATTGACTTTCCACTGCATTCACTGCAGACCCAAGTCTGATGTCAGCGTTACACACAGTGGTCTGCAAGCACCTAGGAATGCCCACTAGTCCACTCTATGCATCAGGGTTGAGAGCTCTTGATTGGTGTAATCAAGCAGGGTGCTGTGGTGAGTGTAGTAAGTTACAGTACATACAGTGCCTGCTGGTCCCTCCACCATTAGCAATGGGTCTAAAATATAGTATATTGTGAAAATGGCACATCATAGGTGCAAAATCCTTTTACAAGCTTGCCAAGGGGGAAAAGGGGAATCAGACATGAAATAATATTATATGAATATATGGCTTTAAATTGCTGATAAGTATAATGTGCCCCACCTACAGTAAGTAATATCTGTTAGTTGGCGCATACCTAAAAACTGACTTTTTATGCAAATTCTAAAATATATCTAATGTATAATTTATAATCACTTCCTTTTCCAGTGTAATTAAAGCATACATGTTTGGCACATTTGTGCCTTTAGGATCCAGTATTCTACAGTCCTTTGACAGTAGCTGAATACCATAATTGCTTCATTCTTAAAGTGTTACCATGTCGGAATGAACACACACAGTCAGTCTAATCCCAGTGGCATCAGCAAATGTCCTTATGTCTTGGGCGAATATAATGATCCAGTAATGGTCAACATGTAAGAAATACCAAGTGAGTAAACGTTATGTAAGTTTATCTAGACAGTATAACCACGCACCTTTTTTCATTATTTTTGGGATTTGCAATGGAATGAGACATGTGAATACCTTCTGTTTTAAGAAGGCTTTACTCTGCTGCATAGATGTATTTAGAAAGTTTATATAGGAAATAAAGGCATAATATGGATTAATGTTGCCATTGTGTTGCGAAGTAGAGCTACAATAAAGCTGTGTTGATTGTCTTGCTAGAGTATATAATTAAAGAGGTGTAGAGTAACGAGTTATATAAATACTTCTCTTTCTGGAGAAAAAGTTTCTTCAGGTTTTGTTCAGTTGTGTCCACTGTTAGGGCCTAGGCAACTTGCTATAATCTCTGGTGAATGGGAAGGTCAGTGCTCAGAATATGATCCACTGATCTGCTCTTCAACACATGTGACAAAACACATAGGCCTTTAGACATATGGGCAGTATCTGAAGGCAGACATGAAAAAGAAATATTTCCAAGAAAGGTATTTGAGTCTTTTTATTATTCTGTATTTATCCATTGAAGCAAACCTTTTAACCTAACTTTATATGAACCTTTAAACATGGGTCAACTTACATGAGCAATTGTAAGCTGAAATCAGAGAACTCCTCATCCTATCTGAGATATATTGAAATACTGTAGTTTTAGTTGAGTTTCATGTAATCCATTTTACCCAGATTGTGTAAGCTCTCAGAGCACTTGTGGTAATGGGGTTGGAGGAGGGGGAGGCGGACTGCAGCCTCCTACCATATGATTCTTTGCTGTGCAATCCCCTTCTATAAGAAATACTAAGCATAGAATTCAACTCTCTCAGAGCTAGAATCAGGGCCATTTTAGAATAAGTGAGGATGTTAGCAACCACTGGGATTTATCATATAAGGCAACCAGCTACATAAGATACATGCCAGGATAGAAATAGAGTCACAGCCACAGGCTGTATGTCCTAAGTGAGTCTAGAGGGACCATTTCATGTCTGACTGGAGTGTAACTGTAAATAAAAGCTCCCACTTCTGCCCATCTTAGTTGTTTGGATGGATGTGCCTATACTGTATATCTGGTGGTACTGCTGAAGTGAGATATGGCCTTACCAGGATAAACCATGTGTTTGTATGAGCTGTCAAAAGCCTAACCTGAAAATAAGGATGATTCAACAAGCAAACTACTGGATCACATCACAAATCACGATGCTTCTGTTTTCCTGAGAAAACAAAGCCAAACCAGAAGAATAACTCTACTGACTCTCACATTAACAAATCTTTAGACTTATCACCTATTTTCCTACATAACAGAAATGTAAACCTTTTATAAGCACAATAGCACAAATATATATTTTGAGAATTAGTACATTACCCTCAATAAACATTTTCCTGGGAGCCCACAACTTTTATACTTTGACTCCCAATACAGTCAGCAATAATCTATTTTGTTGCCAACCACCCAAAGTATGTTATTAAAACCATCCATCAATTAAATTTGTATTTTTATTTTCTGTTTTTATACTAGTAGCCCCCAAGACTCGAGAACACTGCATATACATTTCCCACAATAACACAACTTCAGCCTAGAGGCACTCATTTCATCGAAACAGCATTTATAGACTTGTTTTTGCCAACAAGAAAGGTGGATGAGACCATTTCAGTTCTCCTAAGAAAAAAAATCCACCTTCACTATTGTGTTTTGTAAAAGGCACCAGTTCCTGCAGGGGATGTTTTTTAATATAGTTTTCTCCAGTAGATTGCATGCATTTCCTACTGTATTACCCAGAGTAACAACTGACACATTACGAGAAAGGAGGTAATAGCACAATGCAATAATTCCTTAGCCCGTGTTTCACAGAAATGAACATGTTCTATAAGGTGACAAGTGGGAAAAATATATTTTGACACTTTTTTCCAACAGGTCAAAAGTATCACTTGAAGAATAGCATTTAAAGAAAAGAATGTTCTATCTTTTCATTATTATATGCCTTGTTAATTCTTATGGAAGAAAAATAATTTGTCTTGAGCTATAAGTTATTCATGGTTCAGTTTGTTTGGCTATTAGCGCTGAGTTGATATCAACTCATGGCAACCTTTTTTGTAGTTGTTCTATTGTGACAATTTTTAATAGTGTGCAATAAATCTTGTGCAATATGGAAAGAGACCGCTAGAAAGTACCATAAAAACAGACATCACTTATTTTGTGAAGTGTTTTAACATAATTTGGAAATAAATGTGTAGCTATCAATAGAACAAAATAAGATTTAAAAACAGCTTGAACGCAAACTGGGTTCCAGCTTAGATAAAACAATGCATTTTATAGCAAATCTTCATTACAAAATGAAATAAATAAACATTCTGTAAGGGGTCCCCTAACAATTAAACTAACAAATTCAAATTAAATTGGCTATGTTGGAGTGTATTGTTAAAGCAGTAAGGATGAGCAAACATCTTCTTAGTGAATGTGTTTAATATACAGTGCTTTCTTCACCACTAGTGAATGTTTGGTGAATGTAATTTACTGATTTATAAAACGCTCCCTTTGTTTTAACACAACCCAGCACTGACTAGAATCTATAAGGTAATATTATCTATTTATTGTTACAGAATTTCAAATGAACATTCTCCAAAGCTCCAGATCCGTAGCCACAGTTACTTGAGAGCAGTGAGTGAAGTTTCTATCAACAGGAGCATGGACACCCTAGACCCATCAACCCTTCTCACATCTCCTAAATTTCGCTCTAGAAATGAGAGCTACATGAGAGCCATGAGCACAATCAGCCAGGTGAGATATTGCATTGCCCTTGTTCCCTTGCTATCATTGGTTGTTTAATATTGGGATGAAATTGAAAGTTTAGTATTTTGACTTGTTAATCTAGTTAGGCTAAGATTTACTAAAAGAGCCAAACAAAAGTAGGACTGTATTTACCATATTTACCATAAAGGCACTTATTTTATTTATTTTCCTCTTCCTGCCATTATATTCCGCAAGAGTGAACTGTAGAGAAAAGGGGGTTCATGGGATGTTGAGAGTCACAAGATTTGCTATAATTCAGGAAACATGAGACCATGTGGTTTATCTAGTAAAGGCAAATAGGCTGGTCAGGTTGCAAAGGAATTTTCTTTTAGCTTAGTGAATAAAGTGAAAATTCACTTTGTAAAGAATACCCAGTCACGTGCAAGGAAAATTTGTAAAAAATTTATTTTTGTTTGCCATGATTGTGCTAATGGAAGTCAGCAGAGCTTCACTTCATTCACTAAACTAAGGGAACAATTCCTTTGCAAAACGAGCAGCCTATTTGCCTTTAATAAATCAACACCCATATCTATTTTCTCTTGCTTGTTGGTATGCACAGTTAAAACGTAACTGTGAATATCAAGCAGACAGCATGATTTCTCCAATAGCACATCCTAGTGTTAGTGTTTTACTTACATAATCATATGACAGAGGGGCAGAGCTTGTACAAAAGAGCATCATCACTCAAGAAGTGCGCCTACTAGTTTAGCATGATGTTTAAGTACAGCCCTGCAATATTGTGCAACTACCTACTAAGAGAAACTACAGTAACAGAGCAAACCTCTTTCTGTAAAGTTACAGCCACTAGCTATGAGTATGCTTTAGTTAATTTTGTGATCTACTAAAAGGTAAAGAAATTCTGGGGTCTATTCACTAAGCTGCCGTAGGCAGCCGAGTGACTAACCGACCTGAAGCAAAGTGAGCCGAACGCTGTTCAGCTATTCACTTCAGGCTGGTACGGCTGATTCCAGCCGTATATCGGCTGAAATCAGCCGTACATCGGGTGGCTCCGGGTGGCTTCGGGTCGGCCGAACATGCTCATCGGGTGGCTCGGGTGGCTTCGGGTCGACCCGAAGTGCCGAAGGAGTTCGACTCAGCCGATCCAACATCTGGATCGGCTAAGCCGAACCTCTGGCAGGTTACTCGCTGCTGTTCGGCCTATTCTCATAGATGCCGAACAGCAGTGAGTGAATAGCCGAATGCCTCCGAGCGACATTCGGCTCGGCTGTTCTGCTCGGTCCCTCTGTGGTACCAAGCAGAATAGAAAAACAGTTTAAAAAGTAGTAAAAAATAAAATAGAAAATGATTGGGCGGAGCTAGCATTGACATCTAGCCCCGCCCAACTGTTTTCTATTGGCCGGTCGGTTCTGCAGCCGTCAGAATAAAAAAAAAGAAAAAGTCACCATAGGAATGCATAGCTAGATTCCTATTGGTTATTTCACTTTGCGATAGCCAATAGCAAACTAGCGATTGCACCCGCCCTCTGCTGCTGTCAATCACCAGAGGGGGACCTGAAGGAGAACTGCAGGTCCCCCTCTGCTGATTGACAGCAGCAGTGGGCGGGTGCAATAGCTAGTTTGCTATTGGCTATTGCAAATTGAAATAGCCAATAGGAATCTAGCTATGCATTCCTATGGTGATTTTTGTTTTTTTTATTCTGACGGCAGCCAACATCTCCGATGTCAGGAGGAAAAAAAACCCAGAGCAGGGAAAGGTTTACTCTGCTCGATCGGGCAGAGTGAACCTTTCTGGGAGAAAGTGTTTCTCTCCCGGGACAGCCGGGAGTCGTATTAGCCAGGAACGCCATCGTATTAACCAGGAACGCCATCTGTCATTACACACTGAGAACATGTAGAGGCCGCTCTCAGAGTGTAATGAGGTAACATTAGCAGGTAACCAGGGACGCTGATCTCTCTAAAAGTGGCTAGAGCCAGCCGTGAGATGACGGCTGGCTCCGCCGAGCTGTCAGAAGCAGGCTGTCGGCTGGCCAATGCCATTCGGCCAGCTTCGGCTTTCACCGCGGCTCAGTCGAGCTGAGGCATATGCCTTCGGCTCGACTGAGCCGCTCGACCAACTTCGGGAGCTGTACGGGCTATTGTGAATAGCCCGTACAGCAGCCCTTCGGTTCTACTGAACCGAAGGGGTCCTGGGGCCGAAGCTAGCTGAAGGATCAGCCGAAGCTACGGTTAGATCCTTCGGCAGCTTAGAGAATAGACCCCTCAGTTACTGTTCAGTTACTAGATTGCAAATTGAGAACATTTAAAGGACTAAATTAATTTTAGAGTGGGGTTGTATATAGTGACAACAGTTCCTGCTTTCTGGCTTTATTAAGACATGTTACATGAAACAATTTATGCCACGGGAACATTTAATTTCCATGAATCAGTGTTCTCAATACTGACATGTATGTTTTATTATAAATGTGTACTAGTGCTGCTGTTTTTCTTTTTTTTCAGGTTAGTGAAATGGAAGTCAATGGTCAGTTTGAATCAGTCTGTGAATCTGTATTTAGTGAACTAGAATCTCAGGCAGTAGAGGCTCTGGATCTTCCAATGCCTGGTTGTTTTCGAATGAGAAGCCACAGCTATGTTAGAGCAATCGAAAAAGGATGTTCTCAAGACGATGACAGTGTAATACTCCGACCATCATCACCTCCTCGCACAACTACTACAGTAAGGACAATCCAGAACAGCACTGGTTAGTACCATTATATTTCATTCACTATGAAATGTGGCTTTATTGAAGAACTCTAGGACACACTGTCTGGATAAAAAGTGACAATATCACAAACCCGAATTCAGAATCAAAGTTGGCTTTGATTTTTAGTATGCCCCTGTCACATAAAGAATAATTCCCTTTAGACCACATAACTAAAGGAGAAAGAGAATACCGACCTCTCCTGCTGACTATGCCATTGAACATCACTCCACCAAAGAGTAATCCCCTAGTCCCTCACACTTACATTGGAAGAAATTGATAGAGCCATTGGTTACTTTGCCCCACATCAATCACTCGGTCTGTCATGGTTATGTCATTAAATGATATAATGTATAAATGGAAACTCCATGAGAAAGTGTCACACCTGAGAAAGTGTCACATACTTTGGTAAGGCATGCCCCCACCCGACCCCCACGCATTGAAATTTGAGCAACTGGCTGAAAAATTGAGTATAGACTCTGGGGTGAAAGCCTGAGGATGGGAGAGTTGAAATTGTAGGTGTCACTGTATGCTGATGATCTTTTAATATATTTGAATAATCCCAGTGAATCCCTAGCCAAAGTGTTTCTGCTCATTAAAGATTTCGGAAAACATTCTGGATTCCAAATTAACTGGAGTAAATCCATTCTATTTCCTACTGATGACCAAAGACGCTTGAATATCTCCTTATACTCCCCCATAACCCTATCTACTAAATTCAAATATATATACAAAAAGGGCTGCTCTTACTACTTCCTACAAGATGCTTATTATCATCATTTAAAGATTGTACTGCCCTGCTGGAGATGAGTCGACTATCCTCAAAATGTCTGTAAACATGTTTCAGGTTTGTTCTAAACTCATTTCTGATGCGCCATTATTATTATTATACAGGATGTATATAGCGCCAACAGTTTGCGCAGCGCTTTACAATATAAGGAAGACATTACAGTCACAATACAATTCAAGACAAGATGGTAAGGAGGGCCCTGCCCCTGAGGGCGTACAATCTACAATCGCCATTGACCATTTCCCCCAACAATCCACTGTGGTTTACTTCCCAACCTGGGGAATTCTTCTTTCTCCCAAAAGAGTCTCAGTGGATGAAAAATAGGATGAAATATCTACATCAGTTAAACTCATACAATAGTTTTAAGACCTCTGAGATACTGGTGACAGACTATGGAATTCTTTGAACTTGGTATTACAAGTACACCTAGCTTAGACACACTACTGTGGCACAATATGGTGTATAAGACATGATCCTCTATAATACCAAACTGGATTCCCCCCACCTTCTCCGAGATCATATTCAATTACTTTCTAGATACTATAATGCCCTAACCCAGGTGAAAAATATTAAATTTAACTGAAGTAAGGACAGATGGTGTGCTATCATACCAAATCTATTTGTGAATGCATAGGATGAGCTTTTGTATACTTACCTTGATACCATCATATCCTCCAGAGATCATATAATATAGCTAAAGATATTTGCACCAATTATATTATACCCCTTATAAATCTATGAAAATCGGGAAAAGGGAAAACCCATTCTTCCATAAATGCTGAATAGCAAAAGAGATGTTTCTGACATGTGGGAAAATTCTGGTTGGAAGTTACATATTTATAGCAGATAACTTCTCACTCCCAAACATTTGTAATCCTGCTGCATGCTTGCTGAGTACAATTGAGGATCTGTAAATGGCTCACACAACAAGAGCCATTTTAAAAATGTTATATTTCTAGGAAATGTAATATTCTAGGAAATGAATACCACTTAAATGGTTGCACATTTCCCCTATATGTCTAAGCGATTGGAAGGCATTGATAAACAGTGATGGTCCACTTTACAAACTTACTTATACAGACAATGCCAAACAATTTGTATAAGTGGTTTAGATGGATTGAAACCCAAGTCACAGTGGACAATGTGCCTGATCGTACCAAAATAACACTATGGAGACATGCATGGGAACCTTTGAATACCTTTATTAAATGTAACTTATACACACAATTACTATCTGTGAACCTTGGTGGTGCATTCCACAGCCTAGAGTAAGCTTTATGTATTTTTTATGCTCCTTCAATACTGTATATGTGAGATAACATGTACATTATTGGACAATGATGTATACTGCATATGTGAGAAAACGTGTACATTATTGGACAATGATGAATAGATACAATATCATACTTGGACCCCACAACAGGGATTGTCCTAATAAGTGAAACAATGTACATCATCCTTCTTTATGCTGTATTGGGGTTCTGAATTATTTGTCTCTTTTCCAAATACTGTTGCATAAATTGTATGTGCGCAATCAAACAGCATTAAAAAAAAATTAATCCCTGGCTGATGTTTCTTCTGAAGCCAAGACTTTTGTGAGTGTCAATCTCCTTCGTTCCCCACTTCACTCACTGGTTCTGCACAATGATCTCCACCTCACTGTCCTGTAGTGATATATGGGTTTGTGGGAGAAACCAATGAGTACTGGGGCAGGGGGACACAGAAGATTGACATTCATGGAAGTGTAAGCTTCAGAAAAGACTTCAGTCATATACTTTTTCAGTTGACCAGTGTTTAGTGGCATGAATTGCGGGTAAATATTCTCTTATTTCCCTTATGTGACAGGGTTGTTTTAAAATGCACATATTTATACAATTTACACCTTACATGTTTAGTAGGACACCATCAGATTTTCTTAAGTAAAAAAAAAAACTAGTAGAAACTAGTGTTTCTACAACTTCCATTGATGTCCAGATAGATTGTTATTCCGCTAAGCCCTAAGCAACCAGAAGGCTTTAAAACAAGATGTAACAAATATTGCTGACTGAAATATCCTAAACTAAAGACTACTTTGTTATTGTTTCTTTTGTGCCCCTTTTCATGTCCAACATTTAGTCCAACCATCTCTTGACTAATTTGGATGCTTTGTTTTATAAATGTAAGTCTTGTTCTATCAGTTTATATACTCCTACTTAACGATGTAGTAAAATAGCAAAAAAGTGGAGAAAGTGACCTGTCAATTTTCATATTTTATTCTTTCTTGGAATGAAACAAAGAATCTGATTGGTCACTATGGGCTAGCTCTTTGCTTTTGTTCCTGCTTTTCTTTCCTCCGTTTATACAGTATGAATAGGTATTATGCAGTAGAAGCTGAGCATGGAAGTTAATGTATGAGGTTATTTGTCTAACGTCTGGCCAACTTACACCCGTGTCAGTGATATACAGAGGGCCTCTGGTGTGATCTATATATATATATTCAACATTTTAAACTGTACTGGAGCCAACAGATAGACATTTTCCTATTAAGTTTCTATTTGTTGGTTGCATGTTTGCAGGTCTGTTCTTATTTTCTCAGTTATCTATGGAGTATGTATTTTTAGGACTTTGATTAGCTGACATTTCTTTAGTGTTTTGAAAGACCCTTTTGTATGGGATTCATATTTTGATGCCAGTTTTTGTATAATAAAGAGCAGTTTGTGTACTGCATTGTTAATTTCTTATAGAATTAAGAGCGCCTACAGATGTTCATTTGTGTTCCTGAACATTTAGAATGTATATCAAAAACAAAAGTTGCAGCAATCAATACTGTCATGTGATACAATGAGCGCTGATCCGTACATGGATCAGTGCTCATTGAGTTAATCCTGTTGCTTAGTCCCTTGATATCCGAGGCAGACCCTAAACAGCAATTTAGGTGGTCACAGCACAGTGATAACTGCGATAGCTGATCACTGTGATCACTGTGATCACTGTGATCGCTGTGTGTGACAGCCACCGAGCTGGCTTTCAGCTCCCCTGTGTTGTGGAGCTGGAAGCTGGCTTAGTGTATTACAAAGTGTTACAGAGAATCTCTGAGGAAAATACAGTATCTCCTCAGAATACTTAGGGGTCTATTCACTAAGCTGCCATAGGCAGCCGAGTGAATGACCGACCTAAAGCGAAGTGAGCCGAACGCTGTTCGGCTATTCACTTCAGGCTGGTACGGCTGATTTAATCCGTATATCGGCTGAAATCAACCATACATCGGGTGGCTTCGGGTCGGCCGAACATGCACAGCATGTGCTGCTTCGTGAATAGACCCCTAAGTATCAAAAGCTCCTGTAAAAAAAAAAAATTAAAAAAACCCTTTAGTGCCCCCCCTAGTTTAAATTTTTTTAAAGTTCTTCAAATTAGAAAAATTTAAAAAGGAAAAAAAATTTAAAAATACGTTTAATAAAAAAATAATAAGAAAATATAGTGCCGAGTACCAGGGACACTGATCTCCAAACAGCTAACTCTCCCTGGCGGCCCTTTTTATGTTAAAAGATAACTTTGTCTTTTGAAAGTATTTTGATCTACAATAGTATAGTGGTGTAAGCATTGCAGAATCATTGCGTAATTGTCTGCAGGGTAAACAAAACAGCAATGGCAGGCAAAAGGCTCTAGTAATAAAATTATATATACATGCTATATGTAAAACTCGCTGATCCATGAAGAAATAACTATTTTCGAAGATTTTAAATAGTCCAGTGTACAATACAAACAGCAATAATAGGCACCACAGATTAGGCAGCTTATATACTTAACCACAGCCCCACCTACTCGTTAAATCCGGTACTGTTGTGAATATCATTCTTTCTATGGGGTTAGACTTTGGTCTTCTGGTTACAAGGTTAATATTAAAATGGTCTCCCTGCATGATGCTATATGAGGGTAAAAACAGTACTTTTTTTTTTATTCTTGAAATCTCCTTTAAAAATCAAAAGGTTACGGTCTCAATGGTTATGATATCTTTCATCTAGTAATATGGGTTAGTAAAAGTTCAAACGCAACAATATTTTTTTAATATGTATTTCTTTAAGGTACAGAAGAATAAACCATATTAGTGAATACCTTCCCATATTTGATTTCATCTCTGTATTTATTAGTTCCTTTAAGAAAATGTTTTCTTCCTTTCAGTGGCAGAAACGTTTATGAATTTTCCATATTTAATGAGTGTCTGAATCAGAAT